ACAGTGTTTTCAGATGAAAGGCAAGAACTGACAGCTGTGGCCAGGACTTTATTGGGAACTGGTGCCTCCTGAGAATTTGGGTATTTTTCTTCTTACTGAAAGTTACTTGTGGTTTGATACCTAAAATTTAGGTACTGTTTTAGGGCGGCATTGGGCAGGTGGGGTCAACTGGTACTGGAGCGCTGCTGATTCAGAGTGTAAATGTAAATGAAATCATGCTCAAACATATCGTTTTGAGTTATGTGGTTAGATTGGTTTTTACATTGTCAGGACTTCCAAAGCTGGTTTAAGTCAGTGAGCACTCCTGTCCTGTCTGCTCTTTCCCACCCTGTCAGTATGTTCTACTGTTGACTAAAGATATTAGATCAAGGTATTGTCAGCAGTGACTAGCTATTGGGCTGGGTAAGTTTACTTACCTGGCACCTGGCTTGAGCAATTGATAGAAATGCCTGAACAGGGAGTCTTGTTGGCGGAGCTTCTTTAGCCTCCTGCTCAGGCTGGGAACTGAAGCCAAATGAGGCGTTCTTCCCCATTCCACCATGGCAGGTGGCTTGCTTTATGATGCTGCAGTCAGGACTCCTAATCCATAGAATTATAGATTGCTGGGACTGGGCCGGGATTAGAACTTGCGTCTTACACTGAGATATAGGCTCCTTTTTTGTTCCTTCTCCCTTATCATTGTAAGGTACACTCTCCATTTCTTAAGTTTGAGATTCTCAGCTTGGGCAAAATAGCAGATGGGGCAGGGGGAGGGGAGCTCTACAAGGAGCAGGTAAATGCGAAGGAAAGTGGGAAGGTTCTGCGCTTTTCTAATGACAGAAATAGAAAGCTAGGAGAGAAGTAAGTGACCGCCTCCTCTCGCAGGATTCCTTTGGTCTCCCAAAGGCTTGAGGTTGATGATGGAGGAGTCTGGGAAGTAGAAAACAGATTGCAAGAAGTGGGTGAGTGTGGGATATAGAAGGAGGGGAGAAGGGCTGTTCAGTTCCCGACTGCTCAGTCTTGGTACCACTGTACTTTCCTTATCTCCCCCCTTACCTTGTCCCTGGAAGTTATCTCAGGCCTGTGGGGGAAGAACACAGCAGGGTCCTGGGGCCCAGGGAGTCTATGAGGGAGCAGAGATTTAGAAAAGGAGAATGGGGGAGAAATTATGTAACAAAAGAGAAAAAATTACTGTGATCCACTCCAGCACCACACAAAACAGAACCTCCACATTCCCACTTCCCAGATTAAACAGTTGTCAAGATTTTTCTGGGCTTGTTTACCCTCCCCTTTTTATCTTTTGTTTCATTGCTTAAGTATTTTTAAAGCAAATTTCAGGTGTCATGCCATTAAATACTTCAATTTGCTTCTCTAAAATATTTGGACATTTTCAAACATAACTATTAATGATACTACTTTTACAGAATGATTAAAATTCCAATATTATTTTAAATACGATGAATTCTTTTTAGGTAAACTTTTAAAAAAGATAACACCTATAATAAATTTAAATTTAAAATAAGGCTTTCAAAGAAAGTCTAGAATGTCGATAACTTATACACTGTATTCATTGTGACTTTAAGGTAGTCACAGCTATATCCATGACTTAAGTTATGTCAGGTGTTATTCACAATCTAGATTTCCTTTTTGAACTTACTGCCTTCAACATCTTTACACAGTAGTTTTTAGCACGTCCAATCCAACCCAGGGCCTCACTCTGACAGCCGCCAACCTCTTATGGTAGTATTTCCTGCATGTCATTGATGGTAACGCCATCTTATTCCACAAGCTAAAAATTCCTGCGTCAGCTTTGATGCCTACTTATTTTTTGGTCCTGTATTCAGCCTGTCACTAAACTTTATCAATTTTACTTTACCATCTTTCTCGAATTGCCTTAGTCAAAGTCCCCAGAGAAAGATGCTAACAGTTTTATTTGTTCCTTTTTGACCCCCTTTCAGTCCTTCTCCACATTACAATTAGAGTGAGCTATTCAAAACATAAATCTGATCTGATTGTCCCCTCTTTAAATATTATGTGGCTTCCTGTTACTCTCAGGATAAAGACCAAAAGTCTTAGCAAGCGTTGCAAGGTTCTGCAAAAATACTGCCTTTCTCCTTTTCCAACTTCAGTTCACCCCCACCTTCATTCAATAATTGTTGAATGAAGGTCTCTCTTTCCTAGTAAACTTTAAACTGCAGGAGAGCCAGACCTCATCCTTTCTGTTTGCTTTTGTATCACCAGAGCCCAGTACATAAAAAATACATGTTTGTTGAATGACTATTGAGTGAGAAAGAATGAAATGGGTGGTTGAACCATCCAGAAAACATGTTTACAGGTTATAATTTAAAGAATCTGATTATTACAAACCTGTTAAATCTAAATACTTGAAGGGCCTCCCCGGTGGCGCAGCGGTTGAGTGCAGGGTTGCGAAGTTGGCCGCAGCCTCTGCAGCGCCGGTTCGATCCCCGGCTGCTCCCCGGCCACCGGAGGAGGGTCCCGCATGGCTCGCAGACCTTCCTGCCGCCCGCTGCTCCCCTCAGCAGTGTGCTTCGGTCCTTCTGCCTGCTCTGCTCCCCGCTCTGGCTCTGGTGAATTCTCTCACCCTCCCGCGCTTCTGACTGTACCCAGTGCTTGTATAAATAAATAAATCTTAAAAAAAAAAAAAAAAAAGAATATCATAAAAAAAAAAAAATCTAAATACTTGAGGATTTGAAATCAAAAGGCCCTCAAGGATCTTTTTGCTCAACTTTTCATTTTGTCAATGAGGAAACAGACTCAGAATGCTGCAATAACTTATAAAAAGTCTCTAGATTCTTTAACGACAAAATCAGTAGTAGTTTACAGTTCCTCAGCTACTAGTGCAAACATTCTTTGTACCCAAGTCACTGTTCATGTCCAGAGGAAGGCTCTTTATGTATGTCCTAAATGCCCATTAGGGCCTCCCCGGTGGCGCAGCGGTTGAGTGCTGGATTGCAAAACTGCCCGCGATCCCCTGCTGCTCCCCGGCCACCGGAGGAGGGTCCCATATGGCGCGCAGACCTCTCCTGCCGCCCGCTGCTCCCCTCAGCAGTGTACTTCGGTCCTTCTGCCTGCTCTGCTCCCCGCTCTGGCTCTGGTGAGTTCTCTCACCCTCCCGCGCTTCTGACTGTACCCAGTGTATGTATAAACAAACAAACAAACAAATAAATAAATAAATAAAACATGCCTCTATTAAAAAAAAAAGGAAATAAATGCCCATTATTTAGCTATTATAAATAATGCTTCTGTGTTCAGAGGCATAGAATTAAAAAGGCCTCAGGGCCCTGCCTTTGCATTGGTATAGAAACCACTCTGAACTGTTACTGATGGATAGGGAGCTGGCTTCTTTGTACCCATTCCATTTTTGGTAGAGAGCTGGCTTCTTTGTAACCATTCCATTTCTGGTTAGTTCTGTTAGTTTTAATAGTGACTTGGGATCTGTTTCCTTCTAACAGTTGTCCATGTGATCCTAATTTTATTTTCTCAAGCTACAATAAGTACAATGCTTAGTTTTCTAAGCTACGTGTCTTAGACTAATTGTTTACAGACATAACTATCTTGATCTACATTCATATAAGGACGTTGCCTTTTGTCACTGTTTTTTTAAGATGAGCCTTTCAGAACTGAATTAAGAACCCATCTGAATTCACAATTCCAGATGTTAAGTGATCAGCTGAGACTACAGGGAATTATTTATTCTGGTCATCTAGAAATGAATCTAATGTAATGGTTAAATTCTTGGGTCTGGGGTTGGGCAGACATGGGTTTCTATTCTGGTTCTGCTTCTAACTAGCTATGTAAACTTGGACTTAACCTTTCTTAAATTAAGCCTGAATTGACCTAACGACACTTAAAATGAGAGCAAACAGGAGAATCCCTCTTACTGATTTAAAGTGTCCATATACTTTCAGATGTTCTTTTTATTTTTTTAAAGATTTATTTATTTATGCATACAAGAGCTGGGATGTAGGCCAGAGGTACAGGGGGTGAGAGGATTCACCAGAGACAGACTGGGGAGCAGAACAGGTGGATTGACTGAAATACATTGCTGATGGGAGCAGCAGGTGAGACAGGAGAGGTCTGCTGCACCATGTGGGTAGCTCCCTGGCTGGAGATCAAACTCTTGCTGCAGTGGCTGCTGATAGCTTCATAGTGCTGAGACTTAGCCCCTTGTGCCACCAGGGAGGCCCACTTTAAATGTTCTTGTTAAAATTTTGTGTGTAATGCAGTTGTTTCAGATTTTTTTGTTTCTGAGAAGTTTTGAGATTATGTGACAGAAAATGGTACAATGAAAACTACCATAAAACCATCCTGTATTTAAAAATGAAACATAAATTTGACTTATGTTTTTTAAGATCCAAGGATTAAAATGTGCCTACTGCTGGGCCTCCCAGGTGGCACAGGCAGTTGAGTGCCACGCTGCGAAGCTGTCTGCAGCCTCTGCAGCATGGGTTCGATTCCCAGCTGGCCAGGGAGAAACCCACATGCGCAGCAGACCTCTCCTGTCTCGCCTGCTGCTACCCGCAGCAGTGTCTTTGGTCCATCTGCCTGTTCTGCTCTAGCTCTAGCTCTGGTGAATTCTCTCACCCTCCCACTCCTCTGACTGTACCCCAGTTCTTGTATAAATAAATAAAAATCTTTTTTAAAAAATGTGCCTACTGCATAAAATTAGGGGCCTGAAATCCTCAGAGCCTAAAGTTTCTTCCAGACCAGTTACTTTAACCTACAGAGTCTTAATATATCAATATAGTTTTGCGGTAGGTCTATGATCTATTTAGCCTTTTCTTAAATAGCTCTATTTGGTGTAATTATTATTTGTATATCTGGGAAAACTCATTTTTGGGTTTAGTGCCAGCTGTTCCCTTTCAAACTGAACTCCCATCCTTGCCTAATTTGAGAGAGGCTTAATAAATGTAAAGAGGAGAACTTGTTGTTTGTCTATGTAATTACTTTTAATGCCCCAAAGATAATTCTTTAATAGTTGACTTTGTGTTTTATTTTAGAATCACAAGAAACTGATGAACGACTGGTAGCAGAAGTGGTTGAAAAATGTTCTTCTGAGACTTGTTCTAGACCCTCAGAAAATGAGGTGTCCCAGCAGGCTATTGGTTCTTACTCAGTCAAGGATTTCAAAGAAGAACCCGAACATGATATGAGCAGAATTTCAGTAGTGAGACCATTCTCAATAGAAACCAAGAATTCCACAGACATCCCAGCAACTCTTGGAACAAAAGCTGCCTATGGTTATGTAACTGCGGTCTCAGGCAAGGCTTTGCCCTCCTGTACGCCAGAAGCCATCCAGGACAAGGCAATGACAGAGGGTACCATGGGGGTTACACTGGAAGCTTCCACAGAAGCTGACCTAAAGGCTAGCAACTCCTGTCTGGAACCTGTGCCCAGCAGAAGCAAACTAAGAAAGCCCAAACCTATCTCCCTGAGGAAAAAAGTGAATGGCTGTGAGTTACCAGAAATGGAAGTTGCTCTGGAGGCCATGCCTCTCCCCGAGGCATCCTGTCAGTTCAGTGCTGAAGAAGTGGATGGGAGCACAAATCCTTCTTTGCTAGGAAGTGCCAGGATCCAGAAATCTCCTGATGTTAAGGAAACATCCAGGGCTCCCAGCAGTGACACCAATGATTCAGGGGCTGAGCTGCTAGAGGAGTCAAGGAGCTCACCTCTGAAACTTGAGTTTGATTTCACAGAAGATGTGGAAAATGTTGAGTCCAGGAAAGCCATTCCAAGGAAACTTGGCAGGAAACTGGGTAACAAATTGACCCCCAAGATACAAAAAGATGGTATTAGTAAGCCAGCAGCATCTAAAGATACAGAACAACCTCCAGCTCCAGAAGATGCTCCTCTCTCCCCAGCACCTTCTAAGCTGGATCCCAGTCAGTGGGATAACCCCAACTTTAATCCCTTTGGGGGCCACTCCACGCTGCAGAACTCCCCACCCCTCTCCTCTAAAGGCTCCTACCACTTTGACCCAGACAACTTTGACGAGTCCTCGGATCCCTTTAAGCCAACTACAGCTTTACCAAGCAGTGACTTTTGTTCTGCCGCTGCTAATCATGTTAATGAGATCTTAGAGTCACCCAAGAAGGCAAAGTCGCGTTTAATAACGTGAGTGACGAGGGGTGTGGGATGCGTTCTGTGTATTCTCTGTGAGTTGAGCAGCCAGCTTTTGGTTTTAGGGAACTGAAGTTACCTTGCGTTGCAACAGGGCAGGCAGAGAAACTCAATAACTATGTTGCCATCTTCACTATTTGGCCTAACTTATTGGAATCAGAACTCCCAGAGGTTTCATGTCAGATTTCTGCCGGGTTTCTAAATTCTCAGCTTATTCAGCTCAGTTCTTACCCTCGTTCACCCCCTCCTTGAGTACTTTTTTCTGTTAAAAAAATAAAAAGAATGGCATGAGATAGAGACTTGATGGTTTTTGGAAGTCCTATCTAGGCTGTCAGTAATCACTTTATATACTGCATACTGAATTCATGTGTCACTGCCAACTGCCATCAGATTGTGTATGGATAAAGCAAAAAACTCCAAGCCCACGAGTTACCTGTGCAGCAACAAAACATGTGAGTCTTAGTCTTGTCACTTAAATAGAAAGCTGTGCTTTCGGTTGGAAAAATACCTATCACTAAAATTTGGTAAAAGTCCTAATGTCTCCATGTTCAGCAACTGGCTCCATCAGTAAGGAAATGAATTTTCAATTAGAATGAAGAATATTATATAACACATTAATCTGACAAATTATTTGGTTAACCTTTAGTTGTATATCATCACCCCCCCCTTCCCCTGGGCCTGGGAAATCTAGAGCCACTTTTGCAAGGTCCTTGAAGTTCCCAAAGTGATGGCCTCAGGCCACAGTCCATGTAAAATTTTAGTTTGGATTTGTTACAGGATTATTACCTTATTGCAAAACTTGTGTTGATAACAATATAGGCCTTTGTGACTTCTGTGACAGTTTTCCCTAAAAATTAGATACAAAGAAGGGTCAGGAACATGAAAAGGGAAGATTACTATATTTTTAGTTACTATACATCAGTTGGAGATACAGTTTCATAATGACTTAGACTTTAAGAAACATATTAGATGGTTTGCTGAATTGTTCTAGAGAACAAGTTTTCAAGAGCAGAAAGTATCTATCAGGCCCAAGAAGCTTGAGTGTTGTCGGAATCAGTTCTTCATGGAATGTCTGCAGAACATCTAAAGGAAATGAAATGTCATTGGTAGTCTTGATCTGTTCTTCAATTACATATGAACAGTAAAGTGGCTGCTAAAAATTGGATGTCCTTAAAGTGCTCTCCTGTGGTTAAGGTTGGTTACTGGTGTCTAGACAGTGCTTGGGGTATGTGTTGGCCCGGTCATTGTCCTGTTGCTTCTGAATATGCGATAGCCTAACCACAGGATGCTTTTGCCTAGCAAGGTTGATCAGGATTCATTTGGAAGCCTTTGTTTCAGTTTTGCATGTTGAAGGCATGTAGCCCATGCATCCATGTTAGGTAAGATTAAGTCTAGGCCAAAAGGAGGAAAATTTACCATAAACCTTATTTTCAGTAGCAACAAGCGCCCTCTCTCAAGTGCTACCACCCTTGCCTGATAGCATTTTCTTCTTGTTCTGTTTTGGTGAGTGAACTTCTTAATCTGTATACTTTGTAGGTTTTGTTTTGTTTTGTTTACTCCGTTGCAATCAAATCTCTTTGTCCTTTCTAGAAGAGAAGGGAGCTTGACCTCATATGTAACTCTGGGATTTTGTTTAGCAAATCCGTCATTGGTAGGACAGACTGAAACTACACGTTTGGTGGTAAAACCTAGCGGAGGGTTAGAAGTTCTGTTAACAGGTTACAGTGTGACTTTTTTTTTTTTTTTTTTTACAGTGTGACTTTTTAAAAGGTGTATCTTAGTGACTTCTCAGATTCTTGTGTAAATGGAGATAGCATTTTATGCTTGGGATTTGTGGACCAAATTAAATTATGTAAAGTCATTTCAAGTATCTTAGTGATGCACACCTACAGTAGATAGCAACAGGTACATTTTCAACGACTATTATTTTCATTCATCCTTTAATCTGGATGACTAAATGTTTAACTATAGTCAGCAGTGACGTATCCTTTTAATGCATTTACAAATATTTGAAAATTTACTTTTCATCTCTAAGTTTGACTATATAGCATTTCTGAGTATTTCTACCACCCTCTAGGTTCCTGATAATCATTCACTCACCAGTGGTAATATTCATAAATATAACATTTTTCGTTTGTATCTCATCTTGTAGAAAGAACTTTGCAGCCTTTTTACATCTACCAGACTAGAGATAAATATTCCAGGCTTTACATAATTTTTTTTCTCCATCTGTCTGTCTCTTTTCCTGTCTCTAATTTTGTTGGTGCATCAGGACTACTGAACAAGTGAAATTTCTCTGTTTTCTGTTGTAAGTACTTCTGCTGTTGTTTCTGTTTGACCCCCGAGATGTTGGCACTTTCCTTTCCCGCCCTCCCCATACCGTCTTTCCATAGCATGTTGGCTGCCACTTCTAAGTTGGACCTGGTGATTTTTTGCATTTCATTTGCCACTTCACAAGTCAGCTTAGCCTTGCAATTGTCTGTACCTAAAGGATGAAGCTCTGCCTTCCTACCTTAGGTGCGAGAGCTTGCGCTCCTCGGCTTGGCACTCCTCAAGTGCGCTTTGAATATTGAGTGCTAGCTTGGCCCTGAAATCGTCCCAGCACTGGTTCAAGGGACTGCTCTGCTATTTATTCTTGGAAATAGGTGACTTTTTTGATGGAATAAGGCTGCTGGCTTAAAGCAGGGGCTAAATTTTACTAAGCTCAATGTGAGTTTGGTGGCAGGGGTTGGAATTTAGTAGGCGTATTAAGAAAGAAAGCCATGAACTGGACAGTATTAGTATACATTCTGGTAACTTACATGCTTGTGTGTTCCTCTCCTCCGACCCCTCCTCCTGCAAACACACACACACAGAAGAAGAAAAAATTGGTATTTGGGAAAGGGGGAAGTGAGGGGAGTGTCAGTGACATTTCAGGAAAATTTAAGTGCATTAGAACCAAATCTTTGCAACGCAAATTACATGCCAGTTTAAAAAATAACAGGTGGTTTGAACTTACCCCAGTTCCGGCTATGTTCATTTTCCATCTTACTACTTAATAGGAATGGTATCAGTTTACTTAAATATTTTCATACTTTGTGTTGACCACAGTTCTTCTCTGATAGCAAACAGGTCTGGAACTGCCTTATCAGACTTCTGTGGCTTTTAGTGCAATAAAGAATTTCTATCTAAAGAATCTGGCCCGGCGTGGTAATTTTTCTAATGAATGTCAAAGCCAAGTGAGTAAGAATCAGATGAACCAAATGTCTGTGAGTACTGAGGCTGCTCTCTGAAAGGTTTCTGGTAATGTGCTGTTGAAACTGGGGGGATCAGAGTACCGGCGTTTAATATCCCATAAAAGCAAAAGAGGTGGTCATTTCAGAGAACGAGTTGAACTATAGTCTTTGCTTTATTCTGTTTCTTGGGAGAAGACTCAGGCGAAAGATGTTGCCATCTCTAACGTGTAGATGTATGACTTGTGTGGTGCTTTATGCTTTGGCTTCTATCTGCAAACACTGCTGTCTCTGTTCCATTTCATAACCTAGAAAGTGTCTGTTTGATTACTAACCTGCTGAATTTTTTCCTTTTCTTTCCAGGAGTGGCTGTAAGGTGAAGAAGTATGAAACTCAGTCTCTTGCTTTGGATGGGTGTGCTCAGGTAAGTCTGTCTGTCACCAGAATGTCTTTTAAACCATTTATCCCCAAACTGGAGATTATATTGAGAGTGGGATAGGTAATGAAAACTTTCAGCAGGTATTTGAGTTGTCTGATAAAGAAACCAATTTCCGGGTCCTTAACTTCCTAAACTCATCTGAGAAGGCCCCTGAGGTCAAGGGAAACCTTTCACATTGCCCTTTCCCCAGTTTTTTATCAAATGTCCTCTCTCATTCATTCTAAATCTTACTAAGATGCATCACCATCAAATGTGAAACCTCTGGGTCACCAGAGAGATTGGAAATATTGGTGTATTAGGAAGGTAGTTGTCTCCAATAATGAGATAATATTTTTAAGTTTATATGAGTTTTAATTCATTGCTTTCAATAAAACAGGAGAACCTGAATTAATCAGGTAAAAATAAATTTGGACAATGTTAATGTTGATTATATTTCAATTTAAAAAATAACTTGATGAGGGCCTCCCTGGTGGTGCAGGGGGTTAAGTCTAGGCACTGTGAAGCTATCAGTGGCTGCTGCAGCATGAGTTCAATACCTAGCCAGGGAGCTAAACCACATGGCTCAGCAGACCTCTCCTGTTTCACCCGCTGCTCCCCTCAGCAGTGTATTTCAGTCAGTTAACCTGCTTTGCTCCCCACTTTGTCTCTGGTGAATCTTCCCTCCCCCTCCCCACCTCTGGCCACACCCCAGCTCTTGTATGTATAAATAAATAAATATTTTTTTAAAAATTAAAAATAACTTGATGATAGAAGTGTTTGCTACATAACTTGGAAAGGGGTTCAAGGAATTGAGAGACATTTTATTTCAAAACTTCCTTGTGTTTCATCTACTTATACATAAGATTTCTTATTGATTATAATTATACAAAAGAAAAATGGGAATAAAATTATTGAGACCCTTATTTCATTCCAGCAATAAATAATATTTGACCATAACTATATGAATTATTGGGAAACAAAAAATTCAGGCCCATTGGGTTTAAGTGAGATCCTTTTTTCTTTTTAGCACTCAGTTTCTGTGTAACTATGAACATAGAAATACATTCACTGATTAATAAAATGCATTTTAAGTTTAACTTACCCTATGTGATTTGTACCAAAACTTGGTACATACTTTAAGATTATTTTTAAAAAGGATTTGCAGGGCCTCCCTAATGGCACAAGGGATTAAGACTCAACCTATGAAGCTATCCACACCCACTGCAGCATGAGTTCAATCTCCGGCCAGGCAGCTACCCACATGGCACAGCAGACCTCTCCTGACTCATTCACTGTTCCTCTCGGCAGTGTATTTCAGTCGATCTGCCTGTTCTGTTCCCCACTCTGTCTCTGGTGAATCCTCTTACCCCCCACACCTCTTGCCGGTACCCCCGTTCTTGTATGCATAAATAAATAAATCTTAAAAAGATAGAAAGGATTTACAATTGGATTTACTCTTCATCTATTACAAATATATGAACTATTGACCTTCATTCAGGTGTTGCTAAAACGGGCAACAAGAGCCATAAGAAATTGGTACATGATTTGCTTCAGAAAGATAACTGATACTGTGTATAAAAGTATTAAAACCTGATGCATCAAAATATTGTAGTTTTATATTTTCAATAAAATCTTACTTTTGTGTTTGATAGTACTTGTCAGAAGTTGTAATAAATAATTGTAATAAGTCCCCTGAAGAACAGTGTCAACTAAGTGAGACTTACGGTCACAGAAAAGATTTTTTAAAGTTTTTAACTTTTTTAAACAAAAATATGATAGGAAGTCTTTTTGACAATTTTCAAGCATACCATTGTATTTCCTTGGGATAATTTCCTGGTGGTGGTAGAATAGAAATAGAAATTCAGAGAGGAAGAAGAATGATGTCCAGAAGATTAATGTCACTAATTCAAGAGCATGCACGTGTTCAAATTTAAATAGATCATAGGATATCAAAACATTAGAATAACTAGGTTGAATTAAATAAGGTCACTATTTAAAGTATATCAGATATTATTTGAAATTATTTAAATTTATGCTGGGAAGTTTTTAGATACCTCTTGAAAATACAATGGGGTACTTAGATTTTTCAAGAAATTTGGGAGGTAAATGAGTAAAATATTTAAAACTGTTGCCTTTGGATCACTTAAACTTGTTTATAAGTTTAGGCTAGAGAAGCTGAAATTTTCAATCCTCAGAATTGAATTAGAAAAACTAGTTCTAGAAAACACAGTATTCATGATTAAGAGATTCCAGATTTCTTCTATGATCCGTGTATCCAATCTGTGACTAACTTTTATCCAGTGTCCATATGGGATGGTGGTTGCTTCTGTTCCTGAAATGGTGCTTTCCCCATTGTTTGTGCTCCTAAGAGGTAACATCTGATCTACTTCATTTCCTAGGATGAAGAAACAGTGATCTCCCAGATTTCAGACATTTCTAATAGGGATGGCCATGCTACTGATGAGGAGAAACTGGCGTCCACTTCTTCGAGTCAGAAATCAGCTGGGGCCGAGGTGAAAGGTGAGCCAGAGGAAGACCTGGAGTACTTTGAATGTTCCAATGTTCCTGTGTCTGCCATAAATCATGCGTTTTCATCCTCAGAAGCAGGTATGGAAGTATATCTTCATCTTTAATGTACATAAGCACAGAAAAGCCTAAAAGCCTAAAGCAGGACGTGCCTTAGAGTTAATAGAAAATTGGGTCACTTGGAAGATAGATTTAGGATTTGATCTATGCTTTGCTGCTTTTTCTGGAAAAGAGACACAAAAGGGTGTCTTACTGAAATGCCAGGGACAGATGGACAAGTGTGGCAGGATGTTCAGGAGACACTGGTGTATGAGATAGCTTGTATTTTTTTTATGATTTATTTTAACGTGGCAACATCCTAAAGTACAGGTGCTTATAACTATATGGTAATTATGTTCTTTGTGATTATTATGCTCGTTGTTTAACTTACAAAAATAATAGAAACTAACGCTTGTGCCTTACCACATGCAGGCATTGTTCTAAGTGCTTTACATGCCATTAAAGTACTCATTATTTCTTTCTAGGTATGATTAGATAGGTATTTTTCTCATTTTCAGTGAAGGACAGTGAGATACAGAAGTAACTCAAGTCAGGTCACTTGACTAGTAAATGGTAGAAATAGGATTTGAACCTATGCAGTCTGGTCCCAAAGTCTTTTAACCAAAGTGCTAAAATGTGAAAGGATTATCTTCATTACATTAGTATGTTAAAAATTGTCATGCTCAGAGTAGTGATAGATTGAAATTGATCAGTGCCCTATAAAATCCTTCTTAATGTTCTAATAAAAACCTCATGTAACCTGTGCTGCAGCTTCTTGCCTTTGGTTTATTCCTAGAACTGAGGTTCTTTTGCAGGTCCCAAGTTACATCTGTCGCCTTAAGCTTGACTTGTGAAATATTTAGAGTCCTGTTCCTGGCTACATTAAATGTTAATAAAAGCTCAGATCTTCAGCAGCATAATTTAATTTGGGACTTTTATACTTAGAATATTAGAATTTTAAAAATCTTGATCTATCATCAAGCCAGGGAAGCAAATGAAAATACAGACTTTGTGAAGTTATTCCCCTGGCTTCCTCCCTGCTTCCCAGGACTCTGCTTCCCATCCGTAAAGCACATGTGACAGGACTTCACATTTCTTTGCTGGTCTCTCTCTGCTCTGACTTCTTTCCCAGAGACATTGTTTGCCATTCATTCCCTTTTATATTCCATTTACACAGACTAATCCCAAGTACTTTTATACTTACATTTGCTTCTTCCATTTGAAATGCCTTTCTTCACTCTCTCCTATAAAAATTCTGCACGTCCTCTCAGGTCTGTCTCAGTTGTCACTGCCTCCTGCTGCCTTTACCATTCCTGTTCCATGTAGTGATTTTAGAACGGTAACTTTTTTGAGGTTATGGACAATCAGTGATTTAGTCTTTGAATTTCCTCTAATGCAGATGCATGATACTTATTGATTTATGTTCTTCTTACTAGGAGGAAATCCCTTCAACAGAAATTTCTACAGCTGGGGTTCTATTAGATGGCAGTGCTATCCTCAGAGTTAGTGAATAGCTAATGGCCTACTGTCGCTGATTAGCTATGTATCATGGGAGCAGGCAGAGGGTAGGGTCGTTTGGGGTTGGGGGGTGGTGGAGGTGAAGTGGTTATTCTGACTTTGTCAGCTGAATCAGACCATTTCCTGGAGAGAGTCACCTTTGAGCTAGGTCTTAGTGGATGCAAATATAGATGTGCACCATGAGAATCTCACACAGGGATAGGAGGCCACCTGCTATATTAGTAAAGTGCCCAGTAGCTGTGTGTGTGAGTACTGGCAAGTGGGATAAAGAGATCCCACTGAGGAATTGGGCCTATTCCTGTACCTACAAGGGAAGCATTAAAGGTTTTTAGGCAGAGTCACATTTGTGTTTTAAATAGTTCACAGTTGACAGATAGCAATAACAAATTATTATTTTCGTGCTGTGTGGAGACAGCACTTTAAGTTTCTGTGTGATTTCCCATATTTTAAAAATTTCTTCAGTGAGTACATATTCCTTTAGATTGGGAAAAAAAAGCATAGAGTTGGTTATTTTAAAATGTTGCTTCTGGTGACAGTAGAAGTAAGACTGGATATAAGGAAACCAGTTTGAAGTGTATGGAGAGGATAATGCATTTAGTTTTGTAGGCTTTGAAACTTATCTATTACATAAATTGGTTTGAGAGTACTCTTCAAGGCTGGAATTTAAGTTCACTCAGACTTGGTAATAAATATAATAGTATTCAGTTTCCTCTTTCTGAAAAATTGCGGCACTTATTACAACTCTTGTAAAACTTTTTATGGACACAAGGAGGCAGTCTTACTGTTCTTTTCACTTGAAGATCCTTGATATGTTTATGGCTGATTAACCAGTGGCACACTCCTTTTTCTTCTGAATATTTTCAACTTTTAACACAGACAGTACAGCAGTCAGCAGAATGCCAGTGCTTCTTTGAGAATCTTAAAGTGCTGGTCATGTACTCATTGATGTCATTCTGGGCCTGCACTGGGGGTTCCAAGAGTCTCACTCAGAGGGAAACTGCTTCTTGGGATAACTATAAAAATGACTCTCTGTGTTTTAGGCATAGAGAAAGAGTCGTGCCAGAAGATGGAAAAAGATGGACCTGCCGTGCCTGTAAGTTCCTAAGCTCATAGGAGGGGTGTGGTGGGTGGTAGTAAAGTGCTGTTTTGGGTTTTTTCCCCCCCAGTATTGTTTGGAAGTCCATGTTAATTCATTAAATTAATTGTCAGCATTTAGTGATGATGATGAAATATATTCACTTGCGGAGCTTATATAATGTCCTGCACAATAGCCCCTAGTTGCATGTGACATTGAGCACTTGACCTGTGGCAAGTCCAAATGGAGAGGTGTCCAGTATGTGTAAAATACAACCAGGTCTCGAAAATGTAGTACCATAAAAAGGAATATAAAAAGTCTCTAACTTTTCAAATTGATTAAATGTTAGGATGATAATATTTCAGATACTAACTATAGTTTTAAAACTAATTTCACCTGTTTATTTTTTTTTCATGTAGCCATTGAAGAATATTAAATTGCGATGACTTGTATTCTAGTTCTTTTGAACAGAAGATACAAAATATGAACCAATGATAACCTGTGGTGAATGTTACACCAGAATATGTTCCCAGGACTGTGGGAGCCCAGGCTCACTGGCTCCATGGTAGCTGTCGGGAAGGCACCTGCCAATTAAAAACAATATATTAAAAAAAAAAAACCAACTTTATGACTTACAAAAATAACAAAGAATTCCTGTAAATCTTTCACTCATACTCAAACATTAATATTTTATATAAGCACAGTACAGTATAATGATCAAAATCAATCAGTACTGTTGCAATAATATTATCTATAAACAGCATTCATATTTTATCAGTTGTCCCACAATATCTTTTTTCTTTCTTTTTTTAAAGATTTATTTATTTATTTATATAAGCACTGGGTACAGTCAGAAGCGCGGGAGGGTGAGAGAATTCACCAGAGCCAGAGCAGGGAACAGAACAGGCAGACTGACAAAATACACTGCTGAGGGGAGCAGCAGGCACAGCAGGAGAGGTCTGTCACGCCATGTGGGACCCTCGGTGGTGGCCAGGGATTGAACCGGCGCTGCAGAGGCTGCGGGCAGCTTCACAGCCCAGCGCTCAACCCCTGAGCCACCAGGGGAGGCCCCACAATATCTATTTTCTGACACAGAATCCCATATTGCATTTGCTTGTCATGTCCTTTATCTCTTAATCTGTGATCGTTCTTCTTTGTTTTTCCTGACCTTGACATTTTTGAAGAGTATTGCTCAGTTGTTTTGTAGAATGTCTTTCAATTAGGGTTCACCCAATATTTCCTCATCATTCAGTTTATACAGTTTTGGCACAGATACAACAGGAGTGACATGGACATCATTATATTCTGTCCTTGGTGGAGTTGATTTTCATCACTTGGTTAAGGTGGTGTCAGTTAGGTTCCACCATGTGAACTAACTTTTTAAAGGAAAAATAGGGTTTTCTAGGGAGATAGGCAGTGAAGGGAATGCCAGACAGGAGAGATGGCCTTTGCAAATGCAGGGAGTGAGAAAAAGCACAGACTTTATATGAGGAATTACAAGTATTAATTGTCTTGTGATCCAAGGACACTGTGCATGTGGATGGGCACAGTGGGGTCAGATCATCAAGAACCATAAGCAGGGCCCCAGCAGATGTAGACATGGAAGGTAACTATTTTGGGGTTTTAAGTAGGGAACATTGTGACTGGTGATAGTTCAGAGGATGGGGTGGAAACAGAGATTTAGCATGTAGAACCAACACTGCTATGTGATCTTGGGGACATCCATAGTGACTGGGGAAGAGGTGGTAATGAAAGTTGATGAAGATTACTCAGGATTTCTGACCACATCTGGTATGGTCAGTGTTGCTGTTAACCAAACCCAAGGGGATCTCAGTTCAACAAATGGCACCACTGTCTACCTGGTTGTCTAAGCCACAAAATCTGGGGTCACCTTAGACTCCTCTCTCCCCCTTAGTCCCAGAGGTAAGTTTCTATGTCCAGAAATTGTATATTATAAATCTGTCTACTTTTCTCCAGCTGATAGCTACCACCATTTTTAAAAAAAAATACAGTGGCAATTTCTTAACCAGTCTCCCTGCTCCCTGGCTTATTCTCTCATCCTTATACATAAGCTAGAGTAAAGTTGTAAATACAAAACTGACTTTGTTACTTTTTGTTTAAACCACTTTATTGGTTTCCCTTGTCTTTGAGGCAGATTCAGTCTTTTACTGTGGCCAGTGTGACTTTCAGTATCGGGACCCTACCCCCTTCCCTCAAACATCTGACGCTCCTCTAACCACACAGGATTTCTTTCAGTTCTGTGAATCTACTTTGAAAGTCACTTCCCTGTTTTACCTTCCTTACAAGACTGTAGGCTTGGTGATGATAAGGATAATAACTGTAAATATTGCTAAACATAGGAATCAGCAAATAAAGAATACAGAAGGAGGGGAAAATTATAGTTCATTTTTTGTGTGACTTTGAGACACCTTGGGACTAGTTTCTGTATAAGTCTGTATATCCAGTAGGCAGTTTTAACTACATAGCATGAGCTCAAGAAAGCCTGGGTTTGCTTTAGCAGATTTGATGCCCCCTAGGATTTGGGATAGTTGAAGCTATAGGATTAGATGAAGTTATGATTAAAACATACTTTACCAAAAAAAATATATTTACATCTGGCTAACATATATGTATATGCACATATGAGATACATCATAACATTTATATATTTATAAAATACAAAATATTATTTACCCTTCTTTGTGTGATTCATTCTGGTATTTTCTATTCTGTTTTACTTTTTTTTTTTAAGATTTATTTATGCATACAAGAACTGGAGTACAGACCAGAGGTGTGGGGAGGTGAGAGGATTCACCAGAGTCAGGGTGGGAAACGGAACAGGCAGACTGACTGAAATAACACTGCTGTGGGGGGAGCAGTTGGTGCAACAGGAAAGGTCTGCTGCACCATGTGGGTAGCTCCCTGGCCAGCCAGGGATTGAACTCGTATTGCAGAGGCTGGGGATAGCTTCATAATGCTGTACTTAACCCCTTGCACCACCAGGGAGGCCCTCTGTTTTGCTTTTTAAATACAGCTTATTTGTATTAATAGGTTGCTTTGAAGATAGTTTAGGCCAGCAAATGTGAAGGTAGTAGGGTGGAGGAGCCTGTGGAAGAATGAAGAGAAGAAGGGAGGTGCACATAGGGACTCGGATACTTTATCCTTTCACAGGATTGTGCTTCATGCATTGTGATATTTGTCTGACAGAATCACCTTTTATCCTCAGCTTTCTTGGGAGGTAGATAGGTCACCTAATGCAGTCACTCATGGACCTTTGCCTGGGTTTCCTCACCTGTGAGCAAGACAGTATGCCTACCATCTTCACCCATGAGGATGAGACCCCAAACTCCACCACCAAAATAGCCTGCTCATGCACTGGGGGAACTAGTTTCTTCTGAAAATTTCCAAGTGCTGTGGGAGCACTTTCTAGTATCTTCAGTGTATGAAAATAGCAGAGGGCTGACTGAAGAAGGAAGTGTTGAGAGGACCAAGCATTGGTCTGTGTGGCTGCAGACTCAGGTGATTTACCCAGTTCTTACAACATACTAGTTAAACTTCTGAATTTCCAACTTATGCTCCATAAATTAAGCAGCACTTCTGCCTCGTCAGAGTGAGTGTGAGGATAAAATGAAGTAACATGGAAGACTGAAGCTGTGAAGTGCCAGGCTAATGTAAGCTGGTGTGATAATGAAAGGAAAAGCGGGAATACTTGTCTCTAGAGCCGGAGGAATTTATCCTGCGTTGTGACCTTTTATTTATTTTTTTTAAAGATTTATTTATTTATTTATATAAGCATTGGGTACAGTCAGAAGCGCGGGAGGGTGAGAGAATTCACCAGAGCCAGAGCTGGGAGCAGAGCAGGCAGAAGGACCGAAGTACACTGCTGAGGGGAGCAGCGGGTGGCAGGAGAGGTCTGAGAGCCATGTGGAACCCTCCTGGGCGGGGGGTGGGGGTGGGGGGGTGGGGGGCGTGGGGGGGGTGGGGGGGGGAGCAGCCAGAGATGGAACCAGCGCCGCAGAGGCTGCGGGCAGCCTCGCAACCCAGCGCTCAACCGCTGCACCACCGGGGAGGCCCCATTGTGACCTTTTAAAAGTATCCCCAGTTGAATTTCCAGACATAATTTTTACTTCTTTAGGATGTTGACTAAATTCTGCGTAAAAGAGGGCCTCCCTGGTGGCGCAAGGGGTTAAGCATCTCACTGTGAAGCAATCTGCAGCCTCTGCATCATGAGTTCGATACCTGACTGGTCAGGGAGCAACCCACATGGTGCAGCAGACCTCTCCTGACTTGCCCACTGCTTCTTCCAGCAGTGTATTTCAGTCAGTCTGCCTGTTCTGTTCCCCACTCTGTCTCTGGTGAATCCTCTCATCCCTCCATTATCTCTGGCTTGTACCCCAGCTCTTGTATTCATAAATAAATAAATCTTAAAAAATAAACAAATTCTGCATAAAGCAATTGCAGTATTTAGTTGAGTAAAGAAATCTGTTTGATTTAGCTTTCACTTTTGTAAGCCTCTCTGTATTGCTTTGAAGTACATTCCAAATTGCATTCTCGTGCCCAGGGGTAGCTGGGGCAAAATGACTAAGCTGTAGTGCAGAGCATTGTGGGCATTGAATCTCACCTGGCTTTTCAGCTCTTGATCTGCAGCATTTTTCAGTTAATTTTTTAAAGAAGTATTAAACTTTCTTCAGGATGTTCACTTGGCTGTTCTAACCATGTCTGTGTAAAAAGGGGTCTGCCTCAGGGTTTCAAAGACAAATGATGAGATCAGCAGGCTTGGAAGATTCTTTTTTTTTTTAAGATTTATTTATGGGCCTCCCCAGTGGCGCAGTGGTTGAGCACTGGGCTGCGAAGCTGCCCACAGCCTCTGCAGCGCCGGTTCGATCCCCGGCTGCTCCCCGGCCACCAGAGGAGGGTCCTGCATGGCGCGCAGACCTCTCCTGCTGCCCGCTGCTCCCCTCAGCAGTGTACTTCAGTTCTTCTGCCTGCTCTGCTCCCCGCTCTGGCTCTGGTGAATTCTCTCACCCTCCCGCGCTTCTGACTGTACCCAGTGCTTGTATAAAATAAAATAAATAAATAAATCTTTAAAAAAAATTTATTTATACAAGCACTGGGTACAGTCAGAAGCGCGGGAGGGAATTCACCAGAGCAGGAAGCAGAACAGGCAGAAGGACCGAAGTACACTGCTGAGGGGAGCAGTGGGCAGCAGAAGAGGTCTGCGTGCCATGTGGGACCCTCGCCAGGTGGCTGGGGATTGAACCAGCACTGCAGAGGCTGCAGGCAGCTTTACAACCCAGCTGTGCCACGGGGGAGGCCCAGACTGAAAGATTCTTGATGCCCCCTCACTCTCCCACTGCAAGGACATGAGCTGAGAGAATTTCTTTGTGGCATCTGTACTCACTATATATTTGTAATTCAGAGCTCCATTGCGTTCCCTACAGTCTACAGACAGGTCTTTGTTGGTCCTCAGTTGTAACAAGAGAAGGATTGGGAGACACAATCATGGGACGCTTTTGAAAGAATGTGATTGATTAGCATCTTTATTAAATACATATTAGTTTGTGCAGCCCAGAAAGAGATCACTGGCCAATTCTTTGTGATAGTAGATTTAGTAAGTTTTCTATAGTATTTGATAAGCAATGTGAAGGACTCGGGAATTTAAAAAGTTAAATCCTGTGGGACTGGAAAAGGTGGCTAAAATGAGCCCCAGCATAAATTCCCTTCCCCTTGTCATCTCTAAGAGCTGTTCCATTTTTGAGCCATGACAGGGAAAGGGGAGTGGCCAGGAGAGCTGTAGCTGCAGATCCCACCCATCTGCACTTGTTTGCTAGTTTGCCCCCTTCTGAGATCTGATCTCCCACTTCCAGTCAGAATGCCACCTCTTGTTAGCACTAAGTTCTTGAGTAAGCATGCTGACTAAATTCATTCACCACCTCAACAAATGAATGAGGTGCTAAACTCTAGAATAGACATTGGTGTTTTCCTCACTAAGAAAATTCTTTTGGCTTATTTCCCAAATTCTTGCTAACATGAAAGTCATGGAGGCTCATGGGGGCATTTCCTAGAGCTTACCCAACTTGGGAATTCTGGCTTGGAATAATAAAAACTCACAAAAGACTCATTTTATTTTTTATTAATATTTTATTTTATATAATTCTTACATCATTTTTCATTTTTTACACAATATATGCATTTTCATGTTGGTTATATTCCCCATACAATTGCCCCCCCCCCTTATTTTGACCCTAGTCATTCCTCTTCCCGCCTCTCCCCCCGCACCCCGGTAGTGTGTCTCTGGTTTATAGTTGCTTGTTGATTTTGACTTTTACTTTGTATTCATTACTCTTTTTCCTGGTCCCTTATTTAGGTTTTCTGAATTCCTGCTATGAGTGAGACCATCGCGTATTTTTAAAAGACTCGTTTTAAAATGTATTACTGAATAGAATGGCAAATGTAACAGGTGAACCAAATGTGTCAATTTAATCCTGTCACATGGGAGGCAAGATTAGGGGAAAGTTTCTTTGACATGCACAGGAAGTTGAGATGATTTGAAGGTCCAGGGGTATTATCAGTTTCTATGTACAGATTAATCTAAAACAACAAACATTCATTATTTTATCATTTCTGCACCAGGGATCCTAAGGCAGCTTTTCTGGGTACCTCTGACTTGGGCTTTCTTACAAGCCTCCATCGTGACCTCAACAGGGACAATGGTCTCCTCTAGGCTTGACTCGAAGTAGATCTACTTCCAAGCTCACAGATGTGGCTGTTGGCAAGTCTCAGGGCATCACTGGTAGTTGGCAGAGTCAGTTCCTTGCCACTTGGGCTTCTCCCTGGAGCTTCTCACAGCGTATAATCTGGAGTCTTATAACCTAACCTCAAGTGACATCCCATTACTTACCATAGTCTCCTCTTTAGAAGTAAGTGAATCACTAGGTCCAACCTGCAAGGGGAGGTTACATATGAGAATTAATATCAAGGGGTAGGGCTGTTTTAGAGGCTGCCCACCACAAGTGGCTTCTTGCTCTAGTGATAGATCTATTCCAAGACACAGAGGCTGGGCTTCTGTCAACATGGGGAGCTACCTTCTTCCAAGTGATGTGGACATAGGCATTGCCTGTTGTGGATTTTGCATTTCCCTTTTCTGTGGCCTAAGCTGGCAGGTTCTGTATTGGGCCTTTGGATGAGATCTGTGATGCTGCATATGTGTTTTTCAGTGTTTTCTTGAGAGAAGGGGTGCGGTGATTATGACCAGGAGAAGTTTAAAAACCACTTGTCTAAATTTTCTTTTTTTAAATGTCCACTTTTTTTTTTTTTAAAGATTTTATTTTTTATTTATACAATAGCTGGGGTACAGGCCAGAGGTGAGGGAGGGTGAGAGGACTCACCAGAGATAGAGTGGGGAGCAGAACAGGCAGACGGACCGAAAGCACTGCTGAGGGGAACAGCGGGCGTGACAGGAGAGGTCTGCCATACTATGTGGGAATCTCCCTAGCTGGCTGGGAATTGAACCTGTGCTGCAGAGGCTGCAGACAGTTTCACAACACTGTGCTCAACCCACTGTGCCACCGAGGAAGCCCCCACTTTTCTAATTTGAACTGGCTAATTATAGTAACTAATTGATCAGTTATACTGATGATTAAGATTATTATGATTATTCCCAAGTTACATTGGCTGGCATTTTGGATGTTTTTATATCAGCTTTTTCCCCATTCATATAAAACATTTTCTTATATAAGTATAAGGAAATAGCCTCCTCCCTACTCCCTCCAAAATGCCCATTAGTAAGGAAAATAGTACCTGGCCTCCTCAGTGGTGCAGCAGTTGAGCTCTGGGCTGCGAAGCTGCCCACAGCCTCCGCAGCACCGGTTCAATCCCCGGGCACCGGCGAGGGTCCCACATGGTGCACAGACCTCTCCTGCCGCGCCCACTGCTCCCCTCAGCAGTGTACATCATTCTGCCTGTTCTGCTCCCCTCTCTGGCTCTGGTGGATTCTCTCACCCTCCCGTGCTTCTGACTATACCCAGTGCTTGTATAGATAAATAAATAAATCTTAAAAAAAAAAAAATAGTACCAAGCCCATGTTTCTATGAAAGTCACAGTACTGACCAAATATGACTTCAGTATCTGAGTTTATGGGAAAGAGCTGGCACATCAGAAGGTGACTTGTTGCTAGAGGAAAATGAAAGCTTAATAGCAAGAACAAAAGAAAAAGAAATGTAGGCCTAGAGCCTTGCCTTTATGTGGCTGCCTCAGCACTGCCAGGTTAGGACGTCACTACAGAGCATTTGAAGTTCTTGATGCTCCTGGATTACCCTGGGGTGGGTGTGGGCATCAGGAGTGAGAGATAGTTGCCATTTCTGCTTCCTTAGGCCCGAAAGTTAGTAATGCATTTTAGAAACATTTCCATCTGAAGTACTAAATAAAGATAGAAAGCTTCAGTATGTTAAAACACTGACATTTTCTGGGAAATTTTATTTACATGGAACATATCCAGTATAAAAATTAGAGATTAACCATGAATAGTATTCTCTTTTCTACATGTAACTTTTTGGTAACTGACCATTATGATAATTATACTTTCTCATCTTTGAATAAGAAGAAAATTTCTCTAAGCTTCCTGTTTAACAGTAACTAGACCCCTGATAATTCATTAGAACGTTTTTCCCTGTAGATAATAGCGTAACTGGATTTTTTTTTTAAAAGCTTCCCCTGGTTTTTTCTTCAAACCTGTTAAAGGATGTGATCGATTCAGCAATCAGGAAGTTATTAAAGGCTATTTGAGGTTAAGAAGCTGAAGAATGGAGGAATTAAATGTTACCTCTTCTCCCACAGGGGCTGTTGGAGTCCCAAATTGAGAAGGCCCCCGTGTCTGTGGCCTGTGGAGGTGAGAGCCCTCTGGATGGGATCTGCCTCAGTGAGTCAGATAAGACTGCTGTGCTCGCCCTGATAAGAGAAGAGGTAAAGGCTTTTTTTGTCCTGTTCACTTATCAGTCTGTTTCTCTGGCAATGTAGCCCATGTGCCAGTGGGTCGGTCTCTGTTGGCTGGAAGTTCTTGTTTCCTACAGCTTGTGTAGCTCATGTAAAGGGCTTCCTGTAAAACTCCACTTTGATGCTGGAGTCTGACATACTGGTGTAAGGGGAGAAGGCTGATGCTTTGAATTTTGCATACTTTATCTTTCAGCCTTGAGGTTTTAAATATCTAATTTTGTCAACTTTACCCACATATAACTAAAGCAGTACCTTTATTTTACAGAGGATATATGCTCTGCTCCTGCCTAAAAATTGCTGACTTTTTTGACTTGGAGTATTATGAAAAGTATTATAAAAATGTATCCTAACAATTGTCTAACACTGATTTTGTGGCAGTTGTATTTCTCATGCAAAGTAACATTTTTGTTCGGGCATGTACTTGGGTTAAGGTGAGTCTCTGTCAGACAGATGGCTCTGCTTTCGGTGTCCTGTCTCAATCAGGATTCTGAACCTACACAGCTGAGAGCCAGACCATTAACTGAGGTAAAATCTTTAGAGACTGTGATTACCACCAGGAATATTCCTGGTGGGTGTTCTGTCCTCGTTTCCTCTGGTGGCCACATCTTGGGTCCTATGGGATTGTCATTTTTCTGAATACTGATGAGCAATATTTTATATTTAGGCTTTAGGACTTAAATTCTTAGTATAGATTGAATGTTTGGAGATGAAACTGGTTGTATCTTGTTCTCAGTCTACAATCTTAAAATCCAGCTACAGTGGGTTGAGTAGGTTAAACCAAGCTTTGTCTCTGTCATAATCTAGATAATCACTAAGGAAATTGAAGCAAATGAATGGAAGAAAAAATATGAAGAAACCCGACAAGAAGTCTTGGAGATGAGGTTAGTCTGGAAGTTGGGGAAGGTGTCGGATACCTTTATGCAATGTTAGATTTAATAGAAATGAAGTGATTAAAATATTTGCGTATCACAGAACCAGTTGTTCTGAGCTTGAAGGCTTTGCTATTATACCTTAATTTGTGAATGATAAAATGACTTCATATATATTGCTGACTAGGTAAAATATTTAAATAATGTAGCTATTTTGAGTTGTTCAGAACATTACAAATAGCAGAACCCACATTATTCTAGTCTTTTGAAGACATAAGTTTGTTTTAAAATATCCATTTGAAATACAGTATAATAAGTGATATATTTTATTATGGAGGCATTATAATTCACAAATTAATTATAAAATTAATTATACACAGTAACTTCCAATTTCATAACAACCAAATGAATTATAAAAAATGGGTTAACATATTCAGCAATCAAAAAAGATGAAATAATGTCATTCACAGCAACATGGATGGAGCTAGAAGGGATCATGCTCAGTGAAATAAGTCAGAAGGAAAAAGAAAAATATCAGGTGATTTCACTTATAGGAGGAATATAAAGGAGCCAAATAAAGCATTAGGGAAAAATAATAACAATAAAAAAATAACAAAAATAAACAGATAACTATAAATCAGAGAAATCAGAGACATTCTGTGGGGGAGGGAAAGGGATCAAGATGAGGGAGGGAAGAGCACAAGGGACTGTGGTGGTGGTGCACGGGTGAACTGGTGGTGGAAATTCTATAGGGACTACCCCTGAGAAAAGAAAGCAAACATTGTAAAAAAAAAAAAAAAAAAGAACAATGATGCAAAATACATATAAATAAAAAAAAAAAAGTCAGTTAACAAAACCCAAAATTGACTTTAAATTGAAATCCCTTTATTTTTCTTCTCATTCCTTAGAGAGTTGGGAGTTAGGAAATAACTAAAGATGATACTAAAGAAGGGGGGAAGGGAAATTGACATTTCTATACTGTGCAGCCATCCCTTGAATGATCAAGATACAATTAAAATATGTCCACTCTAATTTGTGACTTTTGATTGATTTGGCGGGTTTTTTTTTTTTTTTTTTTAATATTTGCTGGGTATAAAGCCCCATGCTGGAGGGTGAGGGGCAGTCCCTGCCCTTAGAAAGCATACAGTAGCCATTGTAGAAACTTGAGGACCACCCTGGAGGAGTGGGAAGACATCCTTTCTCCCTGAGGGGATCACAGGGAAGAGACTGTCACTGGAGAGGGTTGGGAAAGCATTATTGCACTGCACTAACAAAAGGTTAACACAATAGAATGATGTTTAAAGTCTGAATAACTGGGATGCTTTTGGAATTAGGAGAGTAAAATAAAATGTATAACTGAATAATGGGGCATACATAGACTGTCTGAAAGGGAGGTATGGGGCCAGGAAAGATTGAACTCAGATCATACCTCTTAGGAGGAACCCCAGAAAATGTCATTAACTTAATTTGTAAGAGATTAATTCTAATCTATTACCTTGAGAGTCATTCAAAGAGATGCAAAGAAAAAAATGCCTTCATTTTTTCTTAATTTCTTTTACGATTAAAAAATATATTATAAAAAATTTTGTTACTGTGAATAGGAGTCTTGTTAAACATCAAATCTTAGGGAAATCCTTTTGAATGTTGACAAATCTTACGTAAATGTTAAAAAAGAGAGTCCCAAAGCAGGTAAGTAAGTCATGTAAATTTGTCATAGTGTGTTAATGTGTTCAGTTATTTGGGGCAGCATTTCTCTAATTCCTGTTGTCTGGAAATTCACTTCTGATAGTAATGTTTTATTTCTTTTTTTAAGGAAAATTGTGGCTGAATATGAAAAGACTATTGCCCAAATGATTGGTAAGGAAAATTCTTTTCTGGGGTATGAGACACAGGATTCATGAATGATCTTCAGCTCAGGCCATTAAGTTTATTTTGTACATCACTCAGACACAGTTGATGCTCATATTTGCAGCAGTTCTGTTCTAGAAAGCTGCTGCAAATGCTGATTTAAGGAGCACTGAAGCTGTGTTCTTAGAGGACTCTTAGCTGAAAATGTGTTCACCAGGTGACTGTTTTTTGCTGCTCTGCACTTGTCCATGAATGACAGGGACATGCTACATCTACTGATTGTGGGGATACAAGTAAACCTTAGCAAATAGGCCAACTTACAAATAAGGAGTCCACAAATAATGAGGACTGATTATAGTTAGTTTCATTTTAGAGAATAGCAAACCCTTGAATTCTGTGAAAAGTCCTCTCCCAGTACCTAGAATGTTGATGCTTTTGGCCAGTTTAGCCATATCATTAGTATCCTTTTGGGTGGGATCTCTTTGCTTTGGTATCCTTTACACCTCTGCAAATTGTCCTTTCCCTATGTCAAACTTATTGATGCCTTTACAAGACAACAGTGGCTCATCTTCCTGAATTTAGAACCTCTCCTAAGGACTATCTTCTAAGGACTAGCACTCCAAGTGGAAGTCAGTTCTTCCTGAACTTAAGCACCAATATGATATTTTCTAACATCAACATCATCTAATGCCTTCCCAGCAGGGTCTTTGCCATACCTCTGTGTGGAATATTCTCCCAGGTACCTCGTGGCTTTTGCCCTTAGTTCTTTTTGGGGCTTGGCTCAAATTTCTGCTGTGAGAGAGATCTCTCTATAAGATGGAACACACACCCCTCGTGCCCTGCTTTGCTCTTTCTCCTGTCACTATCAACATACATCATGCATCTCCCTCTACTAGAATGTAGGTCCTTGAAAAAGTGAGAGCTTTGCTTTGTCCACTGCTGGGTCCCCACCACACCAACCACTGTTCATTCTTTATTGACTAAATATGCCATTGCTTTTGATTGTGATTTACAGAAGATGAACAAAGGACAAATATGACCTCCCAGAAGAGCTTCCAACAACTTACCATGGAGAAGGAGCAGGCCCTAGCTGACCTTAACTCTGTGGAAAGGTCCCTTTCTGATCTCTTCAGGAGATATGAGAACCTAAAAGGTGCTCTGGAAGGGTTCAAGAAGGTAGTGTTTTCTTTTCCTTCTGTCCCCTTGCTGGTGTGTTTTCTTGGTAACAGATCTTCAAACATGTGTGCTGGAGGTGTTAATAGTCTTTTAAACAGGGATTCTAGGCACCTTTTGGCCTTGTACCTTCTGTTTCAGTGAAACTGGAGACATATTTATCACCCTTTTTTCTTTATGTGGTTGTTCAGGACATTTGACCCAATGGGTGACTTGTCTTTGGTCCTTCTGTCAGGCCAGTATACCCCAGAAACAACCGGAGTGCAGCCCTCAAGCCTTGGGAGTATTCTAGAAGTGTTCTTTTGGATAATTTATCAAGTCAATATTAGTAAAAGTAAAAGGGATTCTAACCTGAAAAACTCAGGCTGCATATTCTAGAAAAAAGTAAGTGTATTGTTTCAAATTAAGATGTCAGTGGACATCTTGATTTAATATAGTTTACATACTATCAATAAGACACATTTATAGTAGTAAACTTTATTTTTTCATGTTTCATGAGTTGTCTTTTTTCATGAGACTGGCTAATCAGATTGCCGTTCACTTTTGAATTAACTTCTTTCCTAAAGTAGGTGTAACTGAACCTTACTGGTGTGATTTAAAATTAATACATGGAAAAATTATCTAAAATTTCTTCAGTGAGTATATTTGTGTCAGTGAGATAATTTGATGTTCAAATTACCATGGAGTATAACTTAAAAGACATTTGAATAAATTAGGTTTTCTCTTTTTTTTTTTTTAATATGAAAACTCTAGCACATGGCATGTTACTAGTAAAAGAAAAACAAAATAACCTTTTGTTTTAAATTGTCATTTTGGAACAGAATGAAGAAGCCTTGAAAAAGTGTGCTCAGGATTATTTGGCAAGAGTTAAACAAGAGGAACAACGATACCAAGCCCTGAAAATTCACGCAGAAGAAAAACTAGACAAGTAAGAGCTTATGCATATTCAGTTTCATTTTTCGTGATGTGGGGAGATTGACAGAGGCAAAAAAAAAATCACTGTTTGGCAATTCTAGATTACATGTGTATGCATGCATGTGTGCACACATGTTAATTTTTTGAATAGGTAGACTATTCACATGATTCAAACATTAAACAAAATAAGAAAATACACTATATTTCCCTCCCAACCTGTCACCCCTTCCATTGAGTTCCATCTCTCTCCTCATACCAGGTACTTCATCTCTTTTATCCTCTAGATATACTTTCCATCCTTTGTCCCCCTGCTTTATTGAGATATAATTGACATACAACATTATGTGAGTTTAAGTGTACAATGTGTTGATTTGATAAATTTATATATCAGAATGATTACCACTTTTAGTATTGGCGGACACCTCCTATCACATCACTTAATACCATTTTCTTATGTGGTAAGGTGAAGCATACCTCACTTTTTTCACTTAACAGTGTATTTTGGAAAACTTTCCATATCAATCCATAAAGAGCATCCTTGTTTTTTTAATAGCTGAATGGTATTCCGTTGTCGGACTATATAACTTTTTAGTCAGCCCCTGCTGTACATTTGAGTCATTTAAAATCTTCAGCTACAAGCAATGTTGCAGTAAGTAAAATTGCTGGAGATATCCCTGAAAGTGAAAAAAGCAAGGGAGAGGCTGGTGGTGGCTTGAGGGCAGACAGACTTCTGAGGAAGGTAGAGAGTGCCAGGAGCCAAGAAAAATGTCCTGAGAACTAAATGAAAAATAGAAGGAGGTCTTGCTGAAGATGCTGAATAGTGTGACCCTCTTAGGAAGTGGTTCAGTGTGAGACAGCCTTAGTTTTACTGAACTCTTTTAATGTCAATCCTCTTTCTTGCTTTGAATTGTGATGCTTTGTTCCATTAAGCTTGTACCTTATTAAACTCTTGAATGACAATAAATAAGTAACCTTGAATAATGATCATTTGGCATGCTTATGAATTTTCTGTGTGATATAAAAGGAGTTGCTGAGCCAACAAACATATGAATTATTATAATAAATATTATCAAACTGCCCTAACTAGGCTTTTTTTTCCCCTTCAGTTTACTTCCCTAGCCAACGTGCAAGAATATCTCTTTCCCCTACAGCTTGGCCAACAGATCAGACTTTGGTTTTCTGCAGTTCTAATAGATGAAATAGAGTATTTAAATTTAGCTAGGTGTTTTTTTTTAACACTTTTTCTTACTATGAAATAATTTCTAGGTCAGATGGACATCAGTGGTTAGTATCCGGATTGATGACTAACCATGTGCTTTCTTGTCTCCTTATTCTGCAAACAAAACACCATAAACAGAGCCAATGAAGAGATTGCTCAGGTTCGAACAAAAGCAAAGGCTGAGAGTGCGGCTCTCCACGCTGGACTCCGGAAAGAACAGATGAAGGTGGAGTCCCTGGAAAGAGCCCTTCAGCAGAAGGTACAAAGAGGGAGATGGTGGCCTGACTGAATCAGGTGTAGACAACCCAATATATGAAGCCCTTTATTGCAATCTCACCCTTCAGGGGACCATTGGCAGCATCTAAGTATATTTGGTTGTAACTACTAGGAGATCCTACTGGCATGTAGTGGGTAGAGGCCAGAAATGCTAAACAGCCTACAGTGCCCAGGGCAGCCCTCCCTGCAGACTGAACTAGTAGATAATGGCAACAGCACCATAGTTAAAATCAGTGGCAATATGGCCTCTATTTTCACTGCTCAGCAGTTCTTGGACTTCCTCTTTCATATGCCAGTATTGTTTTTCTTACTGTGTTTCACGTACTCATAATTGTGACATCCAATTCAACTAGACCAGGGTTTTTTCCCCTATGGGGTCTAACAACTACAACAGAGGGATACTCAGTAAGACTATAGAACCCTAGACCCAGGCAATGCTGATGGATTGGGTGAGGTCCAAATACCACAGATAGTTCCTATGATAACAAGAAATTTTGAGAAATAAGAGTTTGTGGATGAGTTGCAGAGGGCTAGTCACTAACCTCACTCCCTACTCAATGTAGGCCTAACTGAGCACATGAACATTTTCTAGGAGAGATGATACATACTTTTCCTTTCTTTAAGAGTCTCTGACATAGCAAAGTTAAGAACCACTGAATTAGGATGTCTAGGTAGAGTATAGCCAGCCTTGGAACTATTTAACTATAATTGCCTTTGGCTCAGGATACAGAGTGGCCTGCATAATCATATCACTTATTTTTCAGAACCAAGAAATTGAAGAACTGACGAAAATCTGTGATGAACTGATTGCAAAGCTAGGAAAGACTGACTGAGTTTTCCCTGTTAGCTCAGCAGATCTGCATTTGGCTGCTTCTCGTGACCACAATTATCTTGCCTTATCCAGGAATAATTGCCCCTTTGCAGAGAAAAGAAAAAAAAAAAAAACTGAAAAAAAAGCACATGCCTACTGCTACCTGTCCCGCTTTGCTGCTGACGCAACAGCCCTGGAAGGACCCCTGGAGTGTTGCACAGTCCTGAATGAGTGGGATCTGACAGTCCTCGAGTCTTTCTCAATTCTCTGTCGATAGTTCGGATAGACAGGCTGCTAAGTTTGGGTTTGTGATTTCTCTATCTTCAGTTTGTTTTGGGTCCTCTTTACTTTTCAAAGTGCATTGAGTTTGTGGTTTTGTGCTTACTTGGGGTCATCTCCTATCTATCACCTGTCTTATTTTGTCGTATAACCTATTTATTTCATCTTTTACATTTTATTTTTAGTATTAGTGGTTTTACTTAATTTGACCTATTGTTACTTCCAGTTATAAACAAGTTATAAACAAGAAGGACTCTTGACTACCCATTTACATACGGACACACATATCTGTATGTGCTGCTGGGTTTCCCCTGTGGCATAACTAACAACTTTACAGTAGGACCTATTTCCATAAATGTAAAACCCTGTTATGAAATAGAATCCTGGCTCAGGATGGCAATTTCAAATTTAGGGGATTAAAGATGGGAAGACCCCAGATTTGTGTCTCTTGTGACTCAGGTTTTGCATCTAGGGAAGTCTTTTCCCCTCGTGTCTGGTTGTCCTGGTATGTGAACACTTCTCAGTCTTAATCAGTCTGGCCCTTTTGGCATCAGTCCCTGGATTGAAAGTTTTCTGCTTTCCACACACAAAGCAGCACGGGACCCCCTCAGAGCTGGAGTTTGGCAAGTCCGTCCTGGAGCCAGCTAGTCTGCTCAGCTTCCATTTGTTGCTACAAAATCAGCATTTACTGTTTATTATCTTCCTATTTGAAATATGCAAAGAAAAGCTTGTAAAAGGTTTAGATGATCTTATTTAATTAAAAGGTCACTGTACCCCATTAGCAATCATAAGGTGAAGGAACAATGGGTATTTTATAAGTATAATGCATTGTTCTTCAGATGTTTTCTTTTTAAAGGCAAAGAGTCCTTTCAAACTTAAGATACTAAACTTTTTAACAAAGCAGACAGGAAAAATGTGAACCACTCCAAATATCAGCGCATTTTGAATGTTTTTAAACAAAGACCATTTGAATACTGGAGGAGGGGCATACTCAACCAAATTCCTTAAGCTCTTACTGGACTTGGTCCAGCTTGTGGGGGCAGTAACCCCAAGATGGAAATTTCCCATATAATGCAGTGAATTCCCTTCCATTTGATAGGCAAAACCAAATCCATGCAAGTGTTTTAAAGCACTCTTTTGTCTTAATCTTACACCCTGAAAGTCTTCATGGTGATATGCACTACATTCAGTACAAGTAAGTTTTCGTACTTTTCTTGTAAAACTATTGCATGATCCAACTTCAGCAAATGAATTGTGCCTAGTGGAGAACCTCTATAGATCTTTAACAATGAATTTTTCTTTAGGTGTGTATTCACATGGGTGTAATCTTTAGCCCCAGAGAGGTCAATAATGTCCTTTAAAGCCAGAAGTCATGTTTTACCAGTATGATTTGTCATAATTGGTGCTTAGGCTATATTTGAAAGCCTTTTGTCTTAACATTTTGTATGAAAAAGAACAACAGAAGTGATCTATGTTTGGAGGTGACTGGACAATCATTTGGGCTTTGAAAGCAGTCGCTGTGGTTTAATTGTGAATGCCGTATACTGTAGTCAGAGTATCAATGGAATATAAGTGTCTCCAGTTGGTGTAACTGATTTCCTTTTTCAGTCCTCCATCACTAGAGAAATTGGCATTTTACATTAAGAACCGTTGCTAAACCTTTTTTGCTGCTGTTTTGGTGGAATGCCCATGTTTTCTTATTTTATGTTGACCTGTCTTAAGCATGAAAAGGTTTATAGTGGTCTTCATTATAAGTCCATTGCTTCCTTTAAGCTTCTTGTGTGGTGGGGGAAAAAAGTAGCAATGTGTTAGAGGTGACGACAGTCCTTCCCTAGCACAGTGGTGGAAGAGACCCTGGTGAATGAAGTTTCTGCACAAAGAATATGAAACCGAGGACCTTGACCATTACAAGGAAATGCTCTTTATTCTAATTTAATAAATGGATATTCTCCAACAAGAATAAAGATACAGCTTGTACAGCTGGCAAATCAGGAGGATATGCTGGGTAGAATGAAGTACAAGTGTTTATTTTCTTTAAAAACAAGCTAGAGAAAGCTCTTTTAGAACTCTGGAATGTAAGAATACAGTCTAGAACTTGGCTTCAAAGCATCTGAGGACTATACTACTTACTGGTTAGGCACTATCGATTAGTACTATTGGTCAGTACTAACTTACTGGTTAGTAAATTCAGTTACAGAAGTGTGAAGGGGCCATGAAAGGAAGCCACTGGCCTAGATAGTGATTTGGGGAGTAATCCGTGATCAGGTTGAGACTCTAGATCCAGAGACATTTTTTAAGGTTCTGACTGCAAAAGTGTATATAAATTGTCTTTATGTACAGGTGTTTTAATTGGAGGATTTAATGTAAGACCGAACAGTTTGTCCCTAGATGAGCTGGTCAGTTACAGTCAGACCTTCCAAGACTTACTCTATTTGGAGAAGGCTCTGAAAGCCAGTGACCTGCCCAAACCTTTTGTTCTGTAAAGCTCGTCTGGAAATATTGAGAAGCCTCATGTTCTCGTGTGGTTTCTAGCTTCTTCAAACCCAGCCCAAATTGGGAAGTGCAGAAGCACATGATGGTGAAAAACCGAGGGCCTGGCAGCCTTCCAGAATGATATGGAATCTAAGGGAAGATTTCCTTTTCATTTGGTAGGACATCTCAAGTTGAATTCTTTCTAGCCTGTTACCCCTTCTACCTGCCCCACACTTCATACAATTCTCACACACATGCTTCAGTATTTATAAGCAGTCCTGAGTCAGTACTGTCTAAACTGCCCCGGATGTCCATGGGCTGACGAAAAGCAGCCAGAGTGAAGCCCTTATTTTTAATAATGGTAACAAGGAGATTGATGGTGGATTTAAAATTCAAAATGAAGTTTTGAAGAGCAAGATTTGCTGACTAGTTTTAGTGATTCAGCACATCTTAGTGGAGTAAAAAGCTCACAACCTCCCTTCTTGTTTCCTTTTGGTTTTCCACTGTGATTGGTGGCCGTCTCATGAATTGTCCACAACTGTTGTCCCATCTTTGTTGTTTTATAGCCTTCTGCGCCTGCTCTCAGATTTGGGATTCTTACTTCATCCGTCTTATAGGAAGACAGAAACTAGATATTGAAAGATTAAATAATTCAGGCAAAAGATTTTAAAGTAAAGATATATATATTCTGAAGAATTTAAAAAATAGTAGATTATTATTTGCTTATTAAAGGACAAATATAGTCTGGAAATCCCAGAATGTCAAACCAAAGGTCTAAGAAGTCTTCTTCACCAATTTTTATAAAGAAGTATTTAAGGAGACTTCTATGCAAAAAGGTTTGACTGGCCTTCGGATTCCAGTCATTTTTAAAAAGCAATTTATCAGTCACACCTTGAGTCTCCCATATAGTGAAGATAAAAGCAATTGCTATATTAGACATGTCTAAGGATCTCCTCTGGAAGATAAAATAAATGCCAGCATTTCCGGTGAAGACCCATTCCCTAGTGCCCAGAGCTAGCATTCTGGAGACTAAAGATTGCACTTTTCGTAGTTCTTCGTCCAAATGCAATCCCATTTCTGTGCCTCTTACTTAGCATGCAATTAGATTTGGACAAACAAGATTCCTAAGGAATGACTATTAACTATAATATGGTTACAGCTATTACATAAATGTGTGTGTGTGTATATATATATATTCTGGTTATAGTTCTAATATGGAGATGTGTGCAATGCTGGCTTGTGGCAGTCTGTATGACGCTTTAAATCCTTTGGAGGCCAGGCTTGGAGCTGAGGTGTGGCTTGAACCTTTCCAGTATTGATTCTTAGGAAGTATAACGATGCCACTTTGTCCCCTTCTGCCTTGTAGTGGTGTCTGAAATGTACTCCAAAAAAGTATTCGCTTGTCACATTATTAACCAATATTCTGTATTTATGGATAATTTTTATAAGTGGACATACAAACATTTGAACTCCAAAAACACCCAGGCCAGCTACAGGGCCAGACTATAGATCCCACCCCCCAGCTTCAGCCAGGGCCCTCTCACCCACCAGGACAGGATGCAGGCATTTCTTTTAAGTCTCAGAGGTAGCAGTAAACTTTCAGTGTTGCTGTTAGCAAGTGTGTGTTTGCCAATAGATACTCATTTGTACTAATGTGCCAACCAGTAAACGTTGACTGCACATTTTCCACTGTGTTCCTACGGGTGCCATGAAGTGTGTGAGGAACCTCTCGTCTAGAGGAATGATCGCTGCATTGACTACTGCTGTCAGGATTGTGTTGTGTGGAATAATCATCTACATAAATTTTATATGCACAGTAATTTCCCTTTTATATGTCAGGTAAATATTTGTAAAAGTTATACTCACACAAATGAAATTATTATAATGATTACTAATATATTTTTTCCATGTTTCATTGCCTGAATAAAAACTGTTTACCACTGTAGATGGTGTGTGTATGATTTTTTTCCCTGCTTATAAGTCGTTTTATCCTTGAATGTGAAAATTTATGTCAGCCCCGTTTTTATGAGCTCCATATTTCAGTCTAAAAATAGACAAGATGACATTTTGCTACACTTATTTTGTGGGTTTTATGCATTTGGTTGGGTGTATAATTAAAAACAAAACAAACTTTGGAATTTAGACCTCACGATAGAAATTTCCATGGCTTTGCATCTGTGCAAACAAAGTTTTTAATTGAGCACTTCTTGGTTTTGCTTAGAGACCGCCTGACTGCCTGGCATTTTTCAAGTCAGAAGGACCCAAGTCACCCCAAGCTGTCTGACTTGTCGAAGGACACAGGATAAGCCAGACTATGTCAACATGCAGAATGACCCACAGAAAATAGGTGACGTTTTATGT